GCATGACAACCAATCTTCTGATTCTCTCTTCAGTTTGTTCAGTTAAGATTTGAAAATGAAAGATAAAAGCTGATTGGTCGCCATGCACAGCTGCTCCAGATGGTCTCTGCCCCGGTTTTGATAAATCACCCTCACATCTACCAATGGCGATTTCACATAAACCTCATATAGTAACAGGAAGTCAGCTTTGTTTTTTTTAAATATAGCTCCCACTACCCTACTTTTAAATATCCTGCTCTGCTAATCTCCAGAAAATTAGTGCAGATTAATTTATGAAAGTATCTGAACCTTTTTTCTGTCATGTAATTAGTTTTAATTCTTGTGCATTTGGCTTTCTGGTGACGAAAGTCGATGTTGACTCATTAAAGATCTTTCTTCTGGAATAAGCGACAACTGTGCGTTGGATTTCTGTGCAGCTGACATGCCGAAGGCACAATAGCTTTTTTCTTCTTTGAATCAATCTGAGACAGTTATTCATGGCCTTTTGAAGCCGTAATTAAATGCATGATCCATTTAGTGATGGTTTGAATGCTGCATGAGTACACAGCTTGACCGTAAGACACCAGCGATTTTTACCGATTCCAAAGAGTAACAATGGATGTAAAGGTTAGTTTACATGGTGTGTGTGGGTTGTTGAGTGGCATATTTAGGTGTTTAGATACTGTAGATGTTGTTTTCCTGGATATAATACCTTGCTGGCTGTTTTGGTTGTGCTGTAGATTCATATTTATAGAACAAAGGTGTAAAGTATAAATATACAAAATTACTTCTCTTAGTTTAGTTTGTATGTAAACACATTCCTGTGTCTTTTTTTTCTTTTTAGATTAAGAATATAATAGATTAAGAGTATAATATATGTATAATAATGTGATCAGCCTAAACTAGAATTCAAGGTTTGCTGAAAACAGTGTTTTCCAGTTGCTTTTTCCTTTAGTCTTTTAACCATTTTGTCGCTGGGACAATTTTTCCATTTTTTACCCACATGGTAAAATGCACATTATTACCGTGAACATGTACTAAAGACCCCAAAAACATACTTTCTCAAAGAAGCCCTTTCAAATAGAAAAGGGTGGTAGTCTCCATTTTATGTTGCACTATATATGCACCATGTTTATTAAATGTAATTTTTTTTAAATTAAAATTTACAAATTTTTTGATGCTATGGAAAAGGAATTCAGTGGAGTTCCAGCTGCCCATATTAGTTCTATTGAATATAGGAAAATATGCTGTCAAATTTTAACACAGCATTACAGTAGTTATTGTCTGACCCTATGGTAATTGTCGTAAGAGGTTTATAGTTTTTAGAAATATGTGCACTGCTATTGCGGAGCACCTTCTGAATATGCCTTTCTGGCGTCAATACTTTGCGTCGCTGCTCTGAAAAAAGCATTTAGCAGCCAAAGTCAGTGAAGTCACAACTCATAATTGTTCCACATTAGTCCTATACTGAGGATATGGGAGTAGCACGACAGCCAGGTTACTAGCTTTTTCAGGGGAAGATCTAAGTAACGACAGCTGCCATATTTCCTCAGTACAGGTTTCTGGCTACATTTTTATTTAAAGGAGAAATATGAGGTGAGTGAATTACCCTCATCCCCATAGTTAGAGCCGATGTGTGATATTGAAACTGTCACATGTCGGCTCTATGGACCGGGAAGTGAGCGAAAACATACCGCCGCTCGCTCACTTACTTCCTGATCATCTCCCTGCAGAGAGCGGTGACTATCAGTCACTGCTCCCCGCAGGGATTCCCCCCCCCCCCCCCTTCGATCCTCCAGCGCTGACTGGAGGGATGGAAGGGGGAGGGAGCGGTCATAGCTGGCTCTGCCTATCAGCCAGCAGGGTGGATCAAGATAGTATCGACTACTGCGCCGCTCTCAGCATATAACTGTCCTATATGCAGAGTTTTGGGTCGGGGAGGACAGTAGGGTCATGGGAAGACATATACTAAAGAAAACTATGGGGAAAAAAGGTTACCCTATAGTTCTCTTTTAAATGTCAATATTTGTTGACTTGATGGACTAATGTCTTTATTCAACCTCAAATACTATGTAACTATGTTTCTATGTGGGTGTTAAGAATCCTCCAAGTTAAGGTTTGTAAAGTGCTGCTAAGTAAATAGTTTATACAGTGGGTATAGAAAAGAATCGCCCCCCTTTTAAAAACACACTTTGTTGCTTTGCAGCCTGAAATGAAGACAGATACAGTTTTTGTTTTATCCAGCTGTATTTACTCAATGCAACTTATAACATCCAAGTGAAAGATATAACACCAACATGTCAGAAATTGTTTTTTAAAAATTCAAAAACAGAATCACTGTTTTTGCTGGGTGGTTTGGGTCATTGTCATGTTGGAAGGTAAACCTTCTTCCCATTGACAACTTTCTGGCAGAGGGCAGCAGATTTTCCTCAAGAATTTGACAGAATTTTGCCCCATCCATTTTTCCTTCTATCCTGACAAGTGCTCCAGTCCCTGCTGCAGAGAAACACCCCCATGCTTTGTAGGAATGGTGGTATTTGGATGGTGAGCTGTAGTGGATTTCCGCCAGACATATCGTTTGGTGTTTAATTTTAGTCTCATGTGACCACAACACCTTTTTCCATGTGGCCTCAGAATCTTCATGGTGCCTATTGGCAAAGCGTAGTCATGACTGCATGTGGCCTTTCTTGAGGAGTGGCTTTTTTTTCTTGCAACCCTCCCATACAAGCCACATTTGTGGAGAATGTGTTATATTGTTGTTAGGGATGCACCAATACCAGTTTTTCGGTATCGAGTACAAGTACCAATGCTTTGCTTTAGGTACTTGCCAACACCAGTACCGATGCCGGTGCTTCCGCTGGGATGTAGCATGCTTCCCGGGCAATAAGGAAACCGGGCGGTGGGTAATGACATACACGGGAAGCCGGCTCCATGTTGTTTGGCTGGCATGATTGTGATTGGCCAGGAAACCGACTTCCCAGCCAATCGGCATCGAGCCAGCTTCACGGCCAATCAGGAAGCCAAGCGACGATTAATTACCCTGCCTCCTGGCCAAGAAGCCGGCTTTCCAGCCAATAGGCATCGAGCCGGCTGTTCGGCCAGCTCGATGCTGTTTGGCCTGCTTCCCGGCCAATCAGGAAGACAAGAGGCGGGTCATTACTCGCCGCCCAGCTTCATGATCGCACGGTAATCTGGCTCCATGTTCCCCTACGGCACTGCCGGTCAGAGGAAATGTTCCTCTGACTGTAAATTCCGGTATCGGGTAAGGTATCAGAGCATTTGTACTCTCCCAAATACTCGGCATCTGTACCAATACTAGTATCGGTATCAGTGCATTCCTAATTGTTGTCACATGCACACAATGAACACTCTTTGTCATAAATTCCTGCAACCGCTTTAGAGTTGCTGTAGGCCTCTTGGTAGCCTCTCTGACCAGTTTCCTCCTGGCTCTTTCATCCAGTTTGGAGCAATGTCCTGATCCAGGGAGGGTCTGTGTTGTACCAAATACCTTCCACTTCTAAATATTAGACTTTACTAGGCCTAGGCTTTTAGGAATTGATAAAACCTTTTTATTTTTTTTGTATCCATCTCCTGACTTGTGCCTGTCCACAACTTTATCCTGGAGATCTTTTGACAGTGCCTTGCCACCCATAGGTTATTGTTTGCTTCAGTTGCACTACCAGTGACTGAAATGCTCCAGGAGAGCTCTTTTCATGCCGAGCTAAACAAAATGACCCCCACAGCTGATCACAGTTGAAAGTCAAATGGCTTTGTGTGCCATTGAGAAGGTGATTAGCTACACCTGATTTGATTTTACAATTGATTTTTAGGAAGTGGTGATCCTTTTTCCAACTCAGTGTTATATCTTTCACTTAGATGGTATAAGTTGCACTGAGTAAATACAGCTGGATAAAACAAAAACTGTGTCTGTCTTCATTTCAGGCTGCAAAGCAACAAAATGTGAATATTTTAACTGCTTGCCGTCTGCCCCTTGTAAAAAAAACAGACGGACGGCAAGCTCCCATTGGCGGGTCGCCGTAAATTAATGCCTTTTTCTTCTACTCACGCGTGCCCTCTAGCTGTCAAAAAACTGTCAAATGCAAACAGCTGTTTCAGATACAAGTGATCGGCGGCTCTATAGCCGTCCGATCGCTTGTACGCGCTGCCCTGCGTGTGCCCTCCTGCAGTGCCACCGCCCCCCCTCCTGCACCCTCACCTTAAATCCCGGGCTCCGCTACCCCCTCTGCGGCCCGAGACCAGCTCAGGTGGGTGTCGGGAGGAAGATGGGAGGGAGATCTGCACCTTCCTCCTTGCTGATCCCCTCTGACGTCTGAATGCGGAAGTTGATGTGTATTACATTACTTCTGCATTCAGCAGTCATTTCTCTGGCTGCTATAGCCTGAGAAGAAGCTTCATCAGCTTCTTTGGAGGTCCCCAGGTGACCGGGGTATTAGAGACCCCCTAATGTCTCCATAAAGAGGACCTGTCAGTGTGCCTGTGCTATCACATAGGGAGCTAACAATCCCCCTATGTGGAAAAAGTTTTTTTTTTAAATGTTGCATATAAAAAAAAAAATTTAAACCCAAATTTTTTTGTTACCCCCCGCCCCCTATGTGATAGCAATAACGTTAAGGGAGGGGGGTAAGTCACATATAAAAAAATGTAAAAATAATGTTTGTTTTTTTTTAAGTCCCCCCACCCCCACGTTTATGCACATGTAAACCTAAATACGCCTCAGGTGCGCCAGTGGTGATTAAATACCATCAAAAAAAATACTGAAAAATGGCCTGGACAGGAAGGGGGTTTAATACCTCGGTCAGCAAGTGGTTAAAAGGGGGTGATTCTTTTCTATACCCACTGTAGATGATCTTGATCTGTTTAGGAGTATTAAATACAGAGTGGATTCCACTGAATTTTAAAACTGCATTTGTCATAGGAGCTACTCTTTGTGTCCATTTCATACATGTGTCAGCATTGTGCGTTAGTCCAGGCACTAAGCCGACTTGTGCATTTCTCCCTAGGTTACAGTACTGCGCGGAGAGAATGAGTCTGCAAGAAGCTTGCTGTCAGCACTGAAGTCATTGGAGTCTGAAAAAGTCAAGCTGGAAATAAAGGTGCAGAATCTGGAGAAGGAACTCATCCAGAACAAGACACAGCTCAACAATTTATCAAACTCATCAGGTAGATGCTTTTTGCGGTATGCTGAACATGTATATTGAACTGTGAACTGCACCAGTAAAATGTCAGGACCCATTTAGGCATGTGTGTTCTGTCAACGTGCGTTTACTTTGTGCATTGACACACGTCTCTAATTTATTTTTAAATGTATACTTTGGAGTGGTTAGAGTTAACAGCCGTTGACAAAGGCTTGTTAATATCTGTTGCCAGGGCATTACAATGCTTGTAGCATGTGTTTTGATATGCATGTCCACTGACTTTGTGGGCCTCACAATGTACTTAAAAGCAGAAATAAAGGACGTTTCATTTTTCAAAACATACTGCCTGTGGCACGAATATGAGAGCAGTCACTATTTTTATTATGGGGACATTGTACACGTGTGTTTTTAGCAGGTTGCAACATGTGCATTAAAGTGCAACAGTGTACATAGGCCCCAAGGGCCTGATTCAGTGTTGTGAGGTAACCTTCGTTGTTTTCAAATACCCGATCAAGGGCTCTATTTTATTTTTTCAAATCCTCTGCTATTGATAGACTGTTTGCGTACACTTTATTACCCTTTACCAGGCGTGACACTTTGGAATACCAGGCTATATATGTGAGCTCTACATAGTTAACTTTAAGCCCTCATTCACACAGGTAATGGCCAGCCTGTACCCATCCGTGCTGCGTGCACGACCGTATCGGGCAGCTCCCAAGAAGGACAGGTGCTGTGTGTGATTTGTACGGAGCAGCCTGTTCTTCTCTATGGCATTAGGAGGCGGCCGTACACTGCCCTACACTCACCCGACCTGCCTGTCCGTGCGGATGTCCGTAGTCGTACGCTGACGGCATGGATCCTGTCTACGTCCGAGCAGGGACACCCGCACTCTTACGGACGTTCAGGTCAGGTGAGCTCAGGGGGGCGTACGGTCGTGTACTCCCATAGAGAAAGACAGGCTGCTGCGTACAAATCACAGGAAGCTGCCCGATACGGCCGTGCACGGAGCTGTACAGGCCGGCCATTACCTGTGTGAATGAGAGCTAACAGGACAGAGGTTTTGGATTGAGTCTGTCAATATTGCCTCTGTTTCCGGGCTCTGACAATTGTAATGCAAATCTGTAGTACAAAGACAAAATGCAGCGACCTTGTTAATTTAAATGCGTTACATGTGATATATTTTTGTGTATAATACAGTACTGTGCAAAAAGTTATTGGATGGTGTGAAAAATGCTGTAATGTAAGAATGCTTTCTAAAATATATATATATTTTTTATTTTTATCAATTTCCAAAATGCAAAGTGAGTGAACAGAAGAAAAATCTAAATCAAATCAATATTTGGTGTGACTACAATTTTTGCTGTAAACCAGCATCAATTCTTAAGGTGCCCATACACTGTGCGATTATCGCAGGATAATCGCGGGTAATCCCGCAATCTTACGATAATTGCAAAGTGTATGGCAGACGTGCAACCGTTTTTACTGTACGGTCGCACTTCTTTTGTCTAAGGAGCACGTTCGAAAACCAGCCGAAAATCGTAAGATTTTCGGCTGGTTTGTGGCATGCTCGGGAGACAAATGCTAGGTCTCTCCCAGAGATGTCAAAGCAGACTGGGCTTTCAAGATGTGCTGTTTAAGATCTTTTGAAGAAGCACAAAGAAATGGGCAATGATGAGGACCGTAGACACAGTGGTCAGTCAAGGAAACCTAATGCAGCTGATGAAAGACACATCATGCTTACTTCCCTTTGACATCGGAAGATGTCCGTCAGTGCCATCAGCACTGAACTGGCGGAAACCAGTGGGACCCAGGTACACCCATCTACTGTCTGGAGATGTCCAGCCAGAAGGGGTCTTCATGGAAGAATTGCAGCCAAAAAGCCATACCTCCGACATGGAATGCTTAGTGACTCAAGTATGCATGAAAACATAGGAACTGGGGTGGGGAAAAGGACTGGTGAGTCAAAATTTGAAATATTTGGCTGTAGCAGGAGGCAGTTTCTTCACCGAAGGGCTGCAGAGCAGTACAATAATGAGTGACTGCAGCAACAGTGAAGAAGGGTGGAGGTTCCTTACAAGTCTGGGGCTGTATTTCTGTAAATGGAGTTGGAGATTTGGTCAGGATCAATGGTGTCCTCAATGCTGAGAAATACAAGCAGATACTTAAACATCATGTCATACCATCAGGGAGGCATGTGATTGGCCCCAAATGTATTCTGCAGCAGGACAACGACCCCAAACATGCAGCCAACAAAGAACCACCTTCAGCGTAAAGAAGAACAAGGAGTCCTGGAAGTGATGGTTTGGCCCCCACAGAGCCCTGATCTCAACATCATGAAGTCTGTCTGGGATTACATGAAGAGACAGAAGGATATGAGGCAGCCGACATCCACAGGGTGCTCACAACAAATATTGATTTGATTTGGATTTCTCTTCTGTTCATTTTCTTTCCATTTCCTTTGTTAAATGATGAAAAAACAACTAACGGTTTTATTCCTGAAAGCATTCTTTACAGCATTTTTCCACACCTGACTAAAACATTTGCACAGTACTGCATGTCTAATGATTTATTATAAATGGTCTATAATGGACACTGTGCTGCAGTGTTAGTTTACATATTGAAAGAGTCCAAGCAAAATATGTGCCCGTTCCAGAACAGGGAAGTTAGGGGATATAACAAACAATGCTAAATAAGTGTCTTAGCGGGCAGTATGTGCACGGGAGGAGAGCGGGCAGTATGTAATTCCCAGGGAGTTCATTTTCCGTGCTATCAGACCAATAAAAGCAAATAAAAAACAGCATTACCAATCAGGTAATATAATATGCAATAATAAACAAATATGGCTGCTCATATATATATACATACACACACACACACTTCCACTAAGGATACAGTTCCTGTCATATGGTGATAAAGTTTACTCTCCATACTGTATCTGTGTAGGATCCGTGTTGTTGCCCTAGGGCATGAAGTAACTACAGAACCCCTACCCGTCTCATCTTTATAAACATAGGGGGGGGGAAGGTGTCCACATCCACAGAAAACACTGGAAACCATTTAACTGATAATAGTCAGTAGAGGCAAAGCCCACAGTCACAAGTTTTCTGGTAGGATCAACAAGTACTTTTTGAACTTATCGAACAGACCTTACAAAACACTTTCAATTTAACATTTATGTATTTAACAGACCAAAGGGGAGCAAATAAAATAATTTCATTGTATGTAAACCCCACTTTATTTCTGTATTTGGATGGCTTTCTGGAGCTATGTTTAAATGAGTGAGCAAAGGGAGAAAACCTCATTCAGATAACTGATTGCCGTTACATGATTATCTTGCTAGCCAGGTTCTTTATTCACATTATATTGTGTTTTTTGCATTTTTTTCACTGTATTAAAGATTTTTTACAATTTTCTTTAAATTAGGTGATGCCTCATTCAGCAGCCAGTGCCCGGAGGAACAGGCATCCTTGGAAAGCCAGGTAAAAAAATCAATGTATGAAGGTTGTAGTGCCAACATTCATATCCATGTATACACTCACATCTATCTGGCTGGCTACATGTGTTGTATGGTTTTTATCTACACATTCCTGAAGTCCTGATGGATTCATATAATGTATTTAGGGCTGTGGAAATTAAAGATTAATTTCTCGATTTAATAGTTAAACTTTTTGATCGATTAAAATTATTTTGATAGCTAATGAAAACATTCATCTCTCGGCCAGCTTCCGGGAGTCTGCTGGATTAGTGTGATCCTAGTTCATTTTATTACTTCATTGCTGTGCTGTATGTGTATAGGCCAATGTAGTTGGATCTGTATGTGCGTTATTGATTTAAATTTTTTTTCGATTAATCGAATATACGAAAATTGTAATCATTAACAGCCCTAATGTATTGCTAATTTAGTGTAGCATCCACCATGTCTTGAAAGGGTTTAGAACAAGGACTCCTTGGTTAATATGGTGTATGCCTTCAGTATTGTTTTGAGACTGCAAAAATGCCTCAGGGGAAACCTAAAAGCCACCAAACATTAAACACATGCGTCATTACAATAAAATAACAATAAACTAAGAAAATGCCTCCTTAGTTGTTAAAACCAGCATATCCTCATTAATGTTAAATATTTGTTTTTTTTTCTGTTACCTGCCAGATTGATTTTCTGAATTCGGTAATTGTTGACCTTCAAAAGAAAAATGATGATTTGAAACTGAAGATTGATCAGATGGTTGAAGCATCACTAAATGGGAACGATGTTGAAGATTTGGACAACCATGAAGGGTATTAGAAATAATTTTTATGACATTTATTATTAATGTAAATTCAGTTGACATGGATATAAACTGCCTCGTTTTTGCATTTTATGACATTTTCTACAATTATTGTTGCCCCATCCTTCATTTCTTATTTTTACAATTCTTCACTTGTCTGTGTCTTTCTGGCCCTTCCTTTGTTTTTCAAATGTTGTAAGTTGCTTTTGGCAATCTATATACCACGCAGGCTCTGTTTGCTTAGACAAAATGGCTGTTGGCTTAACCCTAGCTATATCATAAGCAGTGATGCGTGGCAGCTTGGTGCGAGTTCCCCCAAGGGGTAGGGAATGTCCCTGCTGCAACTTATTGGACCGGGGGGTTGTCAGTACAGTTTTGTGTGGGCATGGTCAAATCCTGGCAAACTGGGTTCACACCAAGCCACCACACATCTCTAATCATAAATGGAGGCATTCTGCAGATCATAGAAAATCCAGTGGAGAAATGTGTTTTTTAATATCCGAGGCAAGACTACTGCAGTGGAATTTGCAATATAAAGTATCCAATAGCTTGTAAGTTTGTAAAGTTCAATCTTGTCAATTGATTAGGCAAGCCTTTTTTTAGGAGGATGCCTGACCTTCCAGCCGTCCGGTAGAAGATTGGTTTCAATGCTATATGGGTTTGCTGATCCTCTAATGTGTTGGTGGGGGCTCGTGATGTGACTGTGTAGATGGTAACCCAGGTGCTCGTGGCTCGTCCTGGAGAAAAGAGAACTTGGGTGGCCAGCCTTCACTGTGATGAGTAGTCCTTTTAGTAAAACGAATCTGACAGTATGTATTGGCAAAAAGAAGGTGCAAAGTTTACCCACTTCCAGCGAGTTCACGTAAATACACATCATCCTCTGGAAGTGTTTATACCAAGAACCATTCTGCAACTGCAGCCATGTTCTTGGTACCGTTTTAAACAGCAGACGATTGCTGTTAAAATTCAAGCGATCCCCCCTCCGCCGCCGGCGCCCTGGGCTCCACCGTCCCCCGTGTGAGCCCGGGACCGATGTGGTGGGTCTCCCATGATGGATCATAGGGAGATTAGCCAGCTTCCTGCCGCTGATCTCTTCTCCGATCACTGGACCCATAAGTGATGTGCATTACAAAAAAGCAAAGTCCCCCGCCCCCCACATGCACGCACATACAACACAAACATGTGTCGGATGCGCCTATGTGCAAAAACGAAAATTGCAACACACATGTTGCATATAGTAGCGAGCATCAGAGTCAGAGCAATAATTCTAGGTCCATCAATCACTGTTAACACTATACTGATGGGCCGTAAAAGCGTTTAAAGGGTCGTCTATGGGAAATTTTGGTTATTGTAGTTTTTTTGCGGTTTCACGGACGCACGCAATTTTAAGGCTTGCCATGTTTGGTATCAATTTACCCGGTGTGACCCCGTCTTTTATATTTTACCAAAAAATTAGAGAGGCAGACACAGCTGTCAATCAGGCAGCAGGGTGGACCCTGACAATATTGTCAGGATGTTTCCTGGCTGCAGTGCAGCTCTGTGCTGTCAGCATATAGCAGGCAATAACCCACTATATGCTGAGTTTTGGGTCACAAGAGAACATTAGTATAAAGAGAACTATGGCAAAAAAAAAGGTTGGGCCAAAGTTCTCTTTTAAAATGTTTGAGTGCTGTAACATGTTCTGGGAGTTAGTGTATGACAAGGCAGTTTTTTAAAAGCTTGGATAGAGTATAGAAGGGTAAATGCCTCTACCAATTTTTTTTGCAGTCTGTGTCCCTGCTGGACACAGACTGTCATAAGATATGGGAATATCTTCCCATATCTTATATGGCAATGGGAACATATATATATATATATATATGTATATGTGTATATATACACACACATACTAAGGGATGTGTGAGTGATTAATCCAAATACTGTATTTTTGACTCTGAAGGGTTGGTCTCCAACAACATTTCTGTACAGCAGTCACCTTTGTGTGTGTTGCTGATGGCATAATACAGGCTTCTGTTTTGGAAATCTAGTGTGGCTGTAGTAAACTGAATAGAGCCCTGGTTTCTATCTCAGGTTTTCATTTACGTTGGTTCCCCAGGATGACCAGGTAATGGGTAAATCATAGGAACTAGCAGATTGCAAGTACAGGGCTTTCCTTGGTAACCAATTCTGGTGGAAGATGTAGCAGCCTAGACTTCATCCAACTTTGTTCCGGCAAAGAAGTTCTGAATGCAGGCACCTAGAAGTGTTTTAAAAGTATCCACGACTAACCAGAAAATGGGGCATTTACCATCTTTGTAGCTCTACTCCCCAGGCAGTTTCTCCATGTTGGCTGCCATTGTACTATAAAGGATGTATGAAGATGACTTCTGGTAGTTTTCTGTGGGATAGATTGTGCAGGATACATTGTGTAATGTTCTGGACACTTGTATGTAAACCCACTTTAATTCGAACTGAGAATATTAGCTTTCAGTTGCTGAGTTTCATATACTGTATTCATTCTTTTCAGCTTAAATGGCACTCAGGCCATGAAGAAAGTGCCCCCTCGCCTTTTCTGCGATATCTGTGATTGTTTTGACCTTCATGATACAGAAGACTGCCCGACACAGACTCAGTTACCCGACTCTCCTCCTCATTCAAATTTCCATGGAAGCCGAAAGGAAGAGAGGCCATACTGTGACATCTGTGAGGTATTTGGCCACTGGACAAACAGCTGCAATGACGATGAGACCTTCTAACGGCACAAGTCTTTAGATGTCGGCCTTCTCTTGTATTGGTATATACCAACCTCACCAGCATTTCCTTTTATTGGCTGACCTGGGACTGTACTTTTCAAAGAATGAAATCTGCATTTGCATCATTATAGCATTTAAGGGCTTGCACAGTGACCTGCGTTTTGAAACCTCATGCAATGTTAGCCTTTGATTTAAGATTCACCAGAAGTTAGTACATGCATATTAATGCTCTGTTTCATATTTGCACTATTAGATTTACATATTTACATTTAAAATGCCTTCAACGTGTGACACTGGATGTAATTTACATATCAGGCTTTCATTTTCATCTTTTTTTTTCCTCACTAACGTCAAGAGTGATGAACAAATATAAGACAAGTACTGGTGTTTGGGATCACCAATGCTGCAAATGCTCATGATAAGTATGGACAACACTGTTAAAAATGAACAATGAAGACAGTTTCTTTAAATTGTTTGCCATGACACGATCAGTATTCAGGGGAGTGGGCAATGACAATATTTTAAACAATGCTGGAAGAGTGCAGTGTTGGAACAATACTGAAGTATTTTGTTTTGTTTGCTGTATGTTCAGAAGTTGTATAATTTCCCAAGGAGGGTTTTGGTGGGCAGGGGTGAGGTTAGCATGGTTTGGCAGTATGATTACTTCCCTTGTGCTCCAGTTCTGTCAATTAACAATCTTCTGCTGGTCAGTTGCTGGGTGATTGTTCTTCAGCTTCTTCTGCCAGTGAGTTAGACCCATCTTTTAGACATCTATAGATCCAAAGTTTGCATCATCAGATGGAGCTGCAAGACCATGTATAGTACAGAGGTGAATAACCCAATCCAGAACAAATCTAAAATACTCTTTTGTCATACCACAGTAGTCAATTATCCTCTGATTACCTTTTACAGCACTTGACTACACAGGTCACATGGTTTTTTGTTTTTTTTTATATCTGCCTTCGCTACCAGGGATCACTCCCTATGTTAGCACTTGTTTGTATGGCAAGTATTAATCATCAAGTTGGGTCTGAAAGCAAATTGCTTTACTTGCGACTGAAAGCTGTCTGACATCTCTGCAATTCCAACTGTCCATATGTTGATAAGGCAAGGTTACCATCAGTAAAAACAGTAATCGGATACAGTAAATTGATCTTCACCCTACCTATTCACACCTCCTGAGCCTTCATATTGGCCAGTAAGTTATGTGTTCACTAAAAGTATTACCCCAATGCTTCTTTTAATCTATGCAGCATTTAAACAGCCCGAGTTCACGATGGGTTTACTTTAACCACTCTGGAATTAGAAGTTGCTGCATTGGTTGATGATTTGTTTTTTTATATAGAGTTTTGCTCAGCCTCTCTGCTTCTCAATTGTTGAGATGAGATATCTGCCACATAAGAAGTGCACTGATAGCCAGACTCGCATATATGCATTGTAATGAGAAGCAGTAATGTACAGCCATTGTATTGCACTGCAAAGCAGGGAACTGAGTCTGTGTATGTAATATGCAAATATGGCTCATGTATAACTTTAAGCAAACAAACTGATTTATATCTGTATTTAAAAAATGATTTTACATGCATATAAAAAAGCATTAAAAAGACTGCTTGTCAAGTGCTTTTGCTTTTCTCAAACTCTAATAGCAATACTACAAGTACTTCAATAACCTCAGCCGCTGAGTCTTTTCAGTTTGGTAACTGAGAAGCAGTATAAATGGCGCTTTTGACCTGTGTGATTCAGAATGGAGCACATATTATCCTGGCTCATCTTCTGCAGGAGGCAACTGCTTTCAGACCATCAGCCCTCCCCTACCCTTGCAAGATTATATGTATGTATATATGCATATGTGTGTGTGTGTATGTATGTGTTTCAAACAAAGCCGCACTTTAAAAAGCTTCGAAGCCCCTTCAGCTCTGCATTCCAAACAACAATGGGAATTACAGGGTAGAAGAGATTGGCAAACAAGTCAGTCTACCATCTCAAGTCCAAATCCGTTTGTGCCTCTGATACTCTCACACCCAATTTGCGATGTCATGCAAAAATTTTATTCAAAGAAGATGATTATCATTTTTAAATGGGAGCTGGGTTTTATAAACCAAGAATTATTTAAAATGATCATTTGGTGTTTGTCTCTTGCTTTTTCTCCAATTCATCTTTCCTCATATCATACCAATGGTGTACTTGTCACCCTATGCTATTACTGTACAAAATTTGTTAATAGAGTATGTTGCTAAGTTAATAATTAGACAAGGAAACCTTGAATATGTATATGAACTGACTGTTGAATATGAGATGTATAGTAGATGTAAGAATGGATGAATGTAAATATACATATTCTATCCAAATAAAGGGTTCGAGACCTAATTAAAACAAATCTTTTTATTAATTTGATGTATTAATATCCAGTACATATTTATTGTTCTTGTTATATGTATGTTCTTAAGTGGGTTTCTTATATTGAGAATTCTGTACCTGGCTTTCTATGGACGACTTTGTAATCGGCTGTTTAAGCTGTGTTAACGTAACTGGTTTGTGGATGTTTCAGGGCAATGTAATAGAGGTATGGTACGTCAGAAAAAAATAAAGCTGATAACAGAATAACGTTTACATTTGTAATGCTTTAGTGTTTTTTTTTCCTGACACAGAACATGGCTCTTTGAAGTTGTTGTGTTGCATTTGGGTTCATTTTTCATTTCTTGTTCTATGTGCATTACATACCCCATACAGTTATGGAGTTTATACTCTGAGCAACACTCACCAACCTGAAAAACAAAGCTTGTACTTAGGAGTGCATTTGAGATCACAAGGGATGCCTAGGAATGAGCATGGGTCACAATTAGGGATGTTCAGATACCAAGTACCGTACGCGGTACACGTACAAGTACAGATACTTTTTGAGCTCTGAGACTAGACTAGAGAAAAATGCAAAAGTTAGGAGGCAGCTGTCATTAATAAGGAGCATACGGAGCTTCTGGGATTTGTACATCCCGGTTTTAATGTATGATTTGTTTTTTTTTATAAACGTATATAAAGTGATGTACCGATACCATTTTTGCAAGTACAAGTACTGATACTTGCCCAAGTACTCACAGATACAAGTACTGATACATTTTTGTTTATTGTCATGTGACAGTTTTTCTAACACAATACAGACTAATGATTTCAGGACAGTGATGGAGCGCCAGAGCCAGATCCCAGCTGCAACCGTTGCAACCCTGGTAGTTCTCATGAAAATGCCAGGTATCTGCACTGGTATCTGTGCATCCTTAGTCACAATCACAACCATCTACTTCCTTTTTGGTTTTTGTGGGTTAAATAAAGGGAACCATGGTGCCTCGTTGATTGGTGTGCATTTTAAAATGTAGTTGTTCTAAACGACATGGCTTATTGTGACATTTTATTTTTGGCATTTGTATAGCGCCAACAATTTATACATCGCTTTACAAACTGCGCATTCACCTAAGTCCCTGCCCTCAAGGAGCTTACAATCTAAGGTCCCTATCACGTTCAGGGCCAATTTAGACAGGAGCCAATTAACCTTCCAGCATGTCTTTGGAGTGTAGGAGGAAACTGGAGTACTCGGAGGAAACCCACACAAACACAGGGAGAACAAGCAAACTCCTTGCAGATAGTGTCCTGACCTGAATACAAACCGGAGACCCCAATGCTGTCCACTGTGACATATTTTTTTTAGTCATATGACATCTCAGAGCTGCAAAGGAAGTTTGGAGCTGGAAGATTTCCCTTGGCCAGATCCTGTGGTTACAAGTCTGAACAGGGAGCAGATAGCTGTCACTGACTGCAGATCCCACTGTGATTGATGTCTGATTTGTGACTTATCAGCAATCCAGAACATCTTATTTGTATGGGGCAGGGGACATATGCCACAAGCTCAGTCCTCCCCTACAGAAAGAAAACATTTGGGAAAGAAAATCAAAAGATTTAACCATTATCAACAGATCAACCTTTTTTAGGACAGGCTAGAACATTACCATGGGCTATGTCGTTTTAATAAACTATAATATTATTTGTGGATGACATAAGGGTTGGGACTAGCTGTAGATGATGTACAGTAAGCTCATTATTATACATCTGTGTAGCACTGACATATTCCACATGGCCGTTGATTGATTATATGAGCGATTTACATTTCTAGGGGGTGCATTTCTGAAGAGAGAACAATAAACCATTCACACACTCAATGTTCAATGGAGTTTAATAATAGTAATACTGTTGTTAAGGGACATAGTGCTAATGAGTGGATGGTACATATGTAGAAGAACGATTAGATAATTCTAGAATCTGTCAGGGCAGAATGACACATTTAGCTTTGTTTTAAAGAGCATATGTAGGCAATGGCTGAAAAATAATGAGCTCCTATTCCTATCCAACAAATGCTGCAGGCATTAAGGCAAGGATTATTTATTTTACCTTAATCTGAGCTCAATGTAATCCTGTATGTCAACAAGCACACACTGTAGAGGGTCATTGGGGGCCTGTGCTTTGTACCTTCACTGTTGTCTGCATTACCAGTCACATTCAAGCTTCCAAGGCTGGTTCCAATGTAATTGTTGTCTGCTCAAAATGTTTTAGCAGTGCCATTTTTTACAGCATACTTTTTTGTATGTGGTGAGAGCAAAGAGCTACATATAGTTACATAGTATTTGAGGTTGAATAAAGACATATGTCCATCAAGTCCAACCTATTGTGTGTGTGTGTGTGTGTGTGTGGGCGTAAAGATCCTCGCGTCATCTCGTTTTTAGGAGTACTTGTACCCCTGTATATTACCGTTTCTCAGGAAATCGTCCAAAAGCCTCTTGAATGATTCCAGACTATTAGCTGAAATCACTGCTTGCGGCAGTGAGTTCCAGACCCTAACCGCGCGAACTGAGAAGAATCCCCTTCGCCCCTTGTGTTTGAATTTTTTTTCTACCAGTTTTAGGTGGTGTCCTCTAATCTTTGTTACGGAATTAATCGTGAAGAGTTTATTGCTAATGTTGCTATGACTATGGAACATTTTGTATGTGAAAATCATGTCCCCCCTTAATCTCCTAAGTTCCAGCGTGAACATATTTAAATTTAGTAACCGTGTCTCATAGCTCT